AGAGAGAGAGAGAGAGAGAGAGAGAGAGAGAGAGAGAGAGAGAGAGAGAGAGAGAGAGAGAGAGAGAGAGCAGAGCTCCGAGAGCAGGTAAGTCTCGAACAGCGCGACCGACCTCGTGGTACTTCTATCTATCTGATGAGCAAAATCAAATGAATCTACAGCTAGTAGATGGAGATATACACTACCACACTTTTTTTTTTTTTTTTTAAATCCAAATCACCCCACCTGTAGTCCACCATGCTCTCATATGGCAGGGTGGGTCACATTCGATAGATTCGTGCCACGTGGCGCACATCGCTTTTGAATGCGTATGAACGCGGCCCAAGGCCGTTTGAACGCGGGCTTTCGAATGCGAATGCATGTTCGGCGCGTTCAAACGGTCACACAGGCGATAGCGGCTGCGCTGTACGTGAATGAAAACGAGCGGGAAAAAGTAGAAGTTGGGTTGGGCTGCACAAGTGATGCAAGGTTGGCATGTGTATTCTCATGTTCTACCGGAAGATCCATCGGCACTTCCTTTTTTTTTCTTTTTTTTTTTCTTTTTTGAAGGGGGACCCTGTGCCCAAGGCTCATATTACTGTAGGTAAATCAATACATCAATGGACACACGCCTCTCCCCATCAAGGCTGGGAGAGCCATAGCCACTACTTGAACTGAGACAGATTCCTTATCTCACTTGCAGCCAGTGGTTGCCGGCTTTGCTCGTCATGGTGCTCGTCATCAACTTGAAGGCCGGGGTTATTAGTACGGCAGCCGTATCTTCCCACGCTTTAGGGGAAGATTCATTCTCATTCTGCAGATTTAACGCTCAACGTGTATTCATTTTCAACGTGGTATTCATTGGGGCTGTCATGATTGCCCCTTACCAGTAGTGCTCGCTATAGAGATCCCGCTCGTAAAAGCGTTGCCCGCTGTTTTCGATCCCGACACTACTACATCATCGTGGCCATGGTGGTCTTGAACTAAGTGCTCGTCGTGGTGATCGCTCCGGGTGTCATCGCAACGATGCTCGTGGTCCTCATGCTAGACCAGGTGGTTGCAATCATTGTGTTTGTCCTGATTGTCATGCTCTTCGCTATCGACGCTATGCCTGTCTTCGTGTTGGTTCACCGTTCACGTGCTCGGCATCTGCTCGGAGGAGCTCCTCTTTGTGTTATACTGCGTACAATTAACGGCTGTGTCGTCGCCCGTACGTCGTACGGGGGGTCTCCGTACGGGCCGTACAGACGGACGTACATACGCGCATACGGTTGTACGGACGCTCCCCGTACGAGCGTGCTACGGGCCTGTGGGGGGGTGCTGGGGGGGG